TTTGTGCAAAAATACAAGGAACATACAATGCGAGTTTGTGTCTTAAGTCTTTTGTTTTGATGAGGGGCTTTTTCTAAATGATTACAAATTGGCGAGTGTGAAAGTGTGTAATTTTTTTATATATTTTTTTTAAGTGTTTCCTATAAGAAAATAAACACGAGACTACATGTTAGCGTTTTTATGATTTAATGAAAAAAAACTAAATATATTTGTTAAACAATTATTAAAATGTAAAAACAAAACAAAAATATATATATTTAAGATTTTGTATATCTCAATAATTTTAATTTTTTAAACGATCCATTTTTTTCCATTTTATTGAATTTGTTCAACTTTGAGCGGGTGTTACAATTTTTATACGCTCAGCCTCAGCCATATGGCTACAGAGGGTATATATAATTTGATACGGCCAAAACGTGCCTCAAGTATAAATAACAGTTTTATACCTTCGGTCTCTTTGAACCACATTCGATTCAGGGGTGTCCATCCGTCCGTCTGTCTGTCAGTTATAACCCTCGAACTGCTCCAAACTTGGTCTAGCATTATATTATTGTTAAACATGGATCGAGTTCGGTGATGATCGGTATTGGACCGCCTCTTCTGACACCTTCTCAATAAAGGGGCTAAAATTGTTCTCTTCGAATTTCACATACCCCAACATTCTTATCAATGCAAAAGCTGATGTGAAGATGGGATATTTCAGCCCACTTTCAGGTACTTCGCCCACAAAGGGTCATAATTTGTATCTCTCATCATTTGTGCGACAAGTTAGCGACACTTTTCAAACTTGGCATATCTAAGTTGTTTCTCAACCAGAGATTTCGTGTGAGTATGGAATTTAGCGGCCAATTCTGTTAAATCCCCATAAAGGGTTAAAATTTTAATCAATAATTAGTCGCATATAACTACCAACAAATGTTAGATTCTACTACATTTTGCTATCCCAATATTTGAAATCAGTATTAGATGAAGTGAAATACTTCGATCCACTATATCTGGTACCTCACGCATATTTAGACATTTTCATTATCACAATCTTTTATATATAAAAGAGTAAAAAATTAATGACTAACTGACTGATTTATCAACGCATCTTGACATTTTGTATTAAAAGGGTACGAAAAGTACAAAAATGTACTAAAAAATTTTTATCTTGTATTGGACCAACGAAATGAGCTAGAACTCTAAAATTTGGAAAGAGAATCACTGTTGAAGTGCAGAATAGGATACCGAAGGGTTTTCAGAAATTTGAAATATTCCTAAAATACCAAAACTCAGGAGGTACTGATATAAAGGGTGATATAAAAAACTGCAACAAAGTCAAACGCCATAATTTTTAATTTTTTTTTTTAAATTTTATTAAATGAAAGCAAAAAATGTCGGAAATAGCATCAAATTTAAGATAAGTTTAGATTTGTTCCAATTGATCACCTTTGGCGCGAATTATGGCCTTCAAACGGCCAATGAAATCGTAACACTGCCCGAATGTTGCTCTGCGGTATTTTGGCCCATTCCGAAGCGCTTGCTTGAGGTGATCGAAACTTTGGTATTTTTAAGTTCCAACCTTGCTTTCCAAAATACTCCAGACAAAATAGTCCAACGGATTGGTATCCTGGAGATTTTGGTGGCCATTTTGCGCTGGAAAGCGAGGAACCTTATTTTGCAACCATTCTTGGGTAGCGCGTGCTGAGTGCGATGGTGCTGAGTCCTGTTGGAATGTTCAAGATTTGCAGCTAAAATGTTGCGACCAATGCTTTAATACACCCTCTAGAATATTTTCGCAATAATATTCGGCATTTATTCTGATGTCACTTTGGCAAGTAAACACGATCATTTTGTTTGTTTACAAACTGCTGGACAACGAATGTTTTCTCATCGGAGAAAAGCAAATTCGGCAGTTCTCCACTTTCCGGCCAAGCGAAGCAACTTTTTTGCTCTTTTGAGTCTATTTTCTTTCTGTTGCGGTGTACGTTCTTGCACTCTTTGGAATCTCGATGGCTTTACCCCGAGCTCATTTTTCAATATTTGCAGAAAGGAATATTGCGATATGTTCAGCTCACGATCCATTTTTTGGCCACTGCGACGCGGGTTTCGATCAAGTCGCTTCTTTACTTTTCCAACTATTTCTGCTAATGTTGCTGTTTTCTTCCGTCCTCTTCCTTGACGTCGGGCTACGCTACCAGTAACGAGCGATGGTGCAAGACACAAAAGATTTATTCACATTAAAATGCTGGAGTGCTCCAGCGGTGGCCACTTGTATTTTTCAAGCCAAATATAAATAAATCACACCATCACGCTTGAATTTCATCACGAATAATTTTTTTTCTGGAAAGTTCTCACCAAAATGCTTTTGTACACTTGCAAACAATATAACGAGCTGCCACTGGAATAATAGCAGTCGGACGAGTGACTTAGAAATCACAGCAGTCTTATGTTTTTTGCAGCTTTTTCATCTCACCCTGTAGGTAGGTGCCGTTGTATGGGGGTTATACGAAATCGTGGAGCTATGTAAACAGTTCTTTCCCTGGGGGTAAAGTACTGACAAGGAACTCCTTGTCTGGATTTTTAGGCAATTCCATTTAAAAAGTTGGCTACTATACCGAATATCGGTCTGAGTATATACATCTCATCATCGGTCTGAGTATATACATCTCTTGGCAACTTCACTGAAACTTTCTCACTTTTGCAATTACAAAGAAATATTTAATGTTTCTAGCAATTGGACCTGTCTAGTTATATCTCATTTACAGGGTTGCCCATATTCGACGGACCCATCTGGCAACGCCATAACTTTTGACAGAGATGTCACATCGCTTAATGACATACCGCGTTTGAAGCATAAGTCCAAGCAGATTTTTACCATGAACCAGTACACGCCACGCGAGCGCTCTGAAATAGTTGAAATTTACATTCAACAGAAGAAGTCAATTGTGAAAACTCAACGTGCTTTTAAAAAATGTGAGAAGTGCGCCTTCTAAGAACACCATTAAGCGTTTATACGAAAAATTTTCAACTGGAAAGGCTCTTTTTAATCCGAAGAGGCCATATAAAAGTCGACCAAGGCGATCGGCCGAGAATATCGCTGCCGTACGAGTCAGTGTTGAGAGGTCCCCAAGAAAATCCCAAAAACGCCGTTCTAAGCAGTTGGGCATGGCTCGGTCCACTTTACAACGGATTATTCGCATTGATTTGCATTTGTTCCCGTACAAAATTCAATTGACGCAAAGAATGTTGCCTGCGGACAAGCCTCGTCGATTGGAATGGGCCCAAAGAGTCATGGGTCCGTCGAATATGGGCAACCCTGTATTTCGGGACTCCAGGCTTATTCCTTCAACCAATACCAAACTCAATATCATTTAGTAGTTTTTGGACAAGTATAGGACACATTTCCAAAACCACCTTCATATCTCAACTGCAGACACCAACAGATACCTTAATAACAAGATTTCAGATACCAGCCTTATAACTTTTCCCAATACCGAATTAAGTATCATTTAGTATTTTTTGTTCAAATATAGGACGCATTTCCAAAACCACCTGCATATCTAAACCCCAGACACCAGCAGAGACCTAAATAACATATTTTAGGATTCCAGCCTTATTCCTTCGCCCAATATTATTATTGTTTTATTTTTTTTTATTATTTTATTAAATGAAGTGGAATATTTCTTGCCGCTATATCTGGCACCTTATGCATATTTCCACATTTTCCAAAAACCTGCACATATTTTATATAAAGTATAGGAAAAAGACGATATAGTCCAAATACGGCAAGTTGCAATATTTATATCAGACTTAGGTCCGATACGGATTGGACAATATTGGCCAACTGCTTCGGATCCTCCCCCATAAAGGGTCAAAATTTGGAATAATCATAACCCAAGACTGGGAGTAAAAGTCTATCGCAACTTGTATAATTATTTCTCATTTAAATTAAATTTTAATACAACTTTAATTTAAATAAAATAAGCTTTCCATTGCAATGACAGAAAACAAAATTATTCAAACCCAGGCGCCAACAACGGCAGAATATTTAATTACTATTTTGCCGCTAAATAAGTTGTCATTCTTTTGTTTTTGCTAGAAATGTCGATAATGACGAAGATGATTTCAAATAAACAAGATGCCAAAAAACAAAAAAATTGTTAACAATTTGTCTGAAAGAAACCCCAACGCTGATTACATGAGATTAAACATTTTATTAGCTTCTTGTAGAAGACGACTGCTCATCAAAGTCATTATCATGATTTGTTTGTGTGTGTGTGTGTTTTTTTTTTTTTTTTTTGATGTTGGAGGTTTGAGACAACAAAGAACGGCAATTTGGGTAAATGCTTTTAAATACATTTAATAAAAGAAACCTTACAAAACATTTAAACACCATTTGTTTCTGGTGGGGGTTTTTATGAAGGGGAGGGGAAGGGGGGTTGAAGGTACAACTATGAGTGATATTGATGTCTATCATATAAAATCTCAACAATATCATTATTAGCATTTACAAAACATCATTATCATAATGATGATAATCATCATCATGATATCCCCTTTATGTTTTTTCTCTTAGGCATAATAATGATGCTGCTGACTGGCAATGGCTGCTGATGATGATAAGGTATTTTATTACCTTTGATTTGTTTTTGTGTGTGTCTCTCTCGATCTCTCGGTGTTTATTGTGGCCATAAATAATTGGCCATATTAAGCGGCGAAAAACAAAAAATCCACACTTCTAGGTCAAGGGTATCAAGCAGAGCTACACTTTACCAAGCAAGCATGGCAAACCTTATTTATTTTTTACTCTTCGTTCAAGAAGACAAACAAAGTGCCAACCATAAAATAACTATAATTGTGGTCACCATTTAATGTTTGTATTCTTTACAGCGTTTAATTTAGGAAGCCCATACTGTCAAGCCGAATAACTATTTAGACCTTTAAGTTAACTGAATGATTGCCAACAAACAAAAAACGGAAAAACAAAGAGGAAATTAAACATCACTTAAACTTACCGCATGCCATCAAAGCCATCATCTGAGCCATTTATGGTTAATACTGGTGCCCGGGCATAGGCTTTGGCCACACGCCGATTACGTTCAAAGACAATTACTTTGGCCCAAATTTCATCATCGATTTGGGTCCATTTGTCGAGAACTTCTTGAATGTGTTCCTGAAAGAAAAAATAAGAAGAAAAAATGTAAATTATGGCATTTATGTTGGCAGTAAGAGGAGGATTTCATCTAATAGGAAATAATTTAAAATGTTGGAAAAATGGGCTTAAGAAAAATGTATAGAAATAAGAAAGTAGTAGCAGGTGTGGTGATCATACAAAAAAAAAAAAACGTTTTAAAAAAATACAAACCAGTAAAGAAAGTTCAAAAGTCGGTCGGGGCCCACTGTATGATACCCTACACGAGAATGTATGAATTTGAGCTTCCCGTAAGAAATGAACGTTTGTATTGGGAATTAGAATGTCAAGTAGGTCATATCAAATTCGAACCTTTTTTTGGGTGCATATTATGGCTTCAGAACAGTTATGATTTGGATTCAGAGGGAACTGACATATGCGAGGTATATCGAACTCTAAATCGATTTTAACCAAATTTGACGGAGGCATTTGTACCTCTCATACCAAATAATATTGCTAAAGAGTGTGTGATATGACTTCGAAAAGATTATATTAAATAAGTTCGGCCAGGTCAAACTTTTAATTCCCTCCACCATTTGAAAAAAATTTAAAAAATGAAAAAAAATTCCGTTAAAAATGCCACTATAATTTAAAAAAGAAATGTAAACATTAGGTGTTAAAGTTATGTGGGGTTATACGAAAACGTTTACCTTCACAGGCAATTTACGGTCAGAGAAGGTTATACCTATTACGAACTCCAAACTGTTAAAAAATGAAGCTTAAATCAAAAAAAAAAAAAAAAAAAAATACTAAATATTGGGAGCTACCGATACACGAAGACGTGAATTTGTATGGGCAATCTTCTGTCACAGGATGCAGTACCCACTGTGAACTCCAACTCCCGAATTCGAAATATTTTTGGTAAAAACGTGCCGAAACCGTCAAATTACCGAAAATGAGGGAGGAGTTCGTATAGCTCCCATGTGGACCTGTATATGAAATTTTCTGACATAGAAGGTAGTATCCATTACAAATTCCAAACACCCAACTTGAAAAATTTCCGGGGAAAAGTGTGATACAATTCATTAAATCGCCGAATATCTAGAGATACAGTTATATGAGGCCTATATGAAACAGCAGACTTCTACGATTTTCAGAAAAACAAGGTTGAAATAATTCTGCTAAAAATATAGCAAAAATCATAAAAATACAGAATATTGAGAGGTACTGTCTTATGGGGGCCATTGGGAAGCATGAATCAGTAAGTCAACTTTCTGTCACAGCAAGCAGTACCCACTGCGAACTCAAAGTTCCGATTTTGAAATAGTTCTGGTAAAAAGTTTTGCTAAAATCGTCCTAATACCTAATGCATATATGAGATCTATACGAAGAAGTGGACCTGTATAGGCAATTATCTTTCGTAAAAGCGAGTAACCAGAAAAAAATTCAAATTACAAATTGGAAACAGTTCTGGTGAAAACTGGAATATACGGAAGTACAGTTATATGGGGTATATACCATTATCAGACATATATTGGCATTTCTCTGCAAGGATGTTTCCGACATCTTGGGAACACATATTTCCAATTTACAGAAAATACGGGTGAAAATGCCGGTGCAGTTATATTGGGGCTATACCAAAACGTGGAACTATATAGCCTGTTTTTAATATCAAAAGTCCTGCAGCCCAAAAACACATCCGGTTAATTTTTTATCAACTTTTTTCATTTCATTTGGAAGCTAGAGTGATTACCGGAGATAGGCATGGCTTAATCGATATAGAATTTAATGATGATCAAGGATATATATACCTTGTCTAAAATGTATATTTCACGGTATGAGAAACGGAATGGAAAACGTAATATACCCTCCAAACCAGCGACGTAGACCACTCCCAAAATTGTAAATTTTTAGGTATTTTTAGGAAATTTTGCTTGGAAATCTCGACCACCGGCCTCTGTTTCGTCTACTTCCTTCACTTTATATAAGATATTTTAAAATTTTTCGAAAATGTTGAAATGTGGGTGAGGTATCGGATATAGTGGACCATTAAATCTTATACTAATAAAAATCTTGGTGGATAATTAAAAGAAAATCGAACACTTTTTTTTTCAAATTTATGTGAATAATTGTTTAAAAATAGGTTAAACTTATTTGGGAGAGGATGTGGTGCCTCTGAGTGGTTGAGAAAAATATTTAGATATGCCAAGATTTTATGTTAATAAAAAATATTAAGATGTGTGATATTTGAAAAGAATTGAATAATTATTTCACATTTTATGAGAATCGAAATTATTCTGAAATTTGACCCGTTGAGCAAGATGTACCAGAATAAATGATCCGATATATTTCATCTTCAAAAAAAGATCTGAAGTTAATAGAAATCGGATGCTAATTCACGATTTATGAGTTTCATTGTTAATCAAAATGTTGGTCCGTTGTGGGAGAGGTACCAGAGGGAGTGTTCCGTTCTACCCGTTCTTCACACCAGATCTTGTGTTAGTAGAAATATTGGGATGTGTGAAATTTAAAGACAATCAGATACACATTTTATAATAGTTATAATTATTGACCCTCTATGGGAGAGGTGCTTAATGGAGTTGGCCGGTATCGTTCATTTTCACACCTGCCGTAATAAGGATAAATTGGATGACCTTTTCTTGTCCCTTGAAGTACTTTTTTTATACCCTCCACCATAGTATGGTGGGTATATTAAGTTTGTCATTCCGTTTGTAACACCTCGAAATACACATTTTAGACCCCACAAAGTATATATATTCTTGATCAGCATAAAATTCTATGTCGATTTAGGGATTTCCGTCCGTCTATCCGTCTGTCCGTCTGTGGAAATCACTCTAGCTCCTGAACGAATTGAAGTAGATTGATCAAATTTTGCTCAAATGTATGCTATGTCTGCAGGACTTTTGGTATTGAAAATGGACTATGTAGCTCTACGTTTTGGTATAGCCCCCATATTTTAATTTTTATTTTAATGATTTTAGCGGCATTTTTCACCGGAATAGTGCCAAATTTGGTATTTGAAGTTCGTAATGGATGTTACAGCCTAAGACAGAAAATTGTATGTGCAGATCCACGTCTTCGTATAGCCCCCATAACAGTACCTCCCGATATTCGGTATTTTGACAATTTTAGCGAATTTTTTTCACCGGAATTGTTTCAAATTTGGAATTTGAAGTTCGTAATGGATATTACAGTCTTCGTAGAGCCCCCATATAACGGTACCTCCCGATATTCGAATTTTTGATGATTTTAGTGAATTTATTCACCGGAATTGTTTCAAATTTGGTATTTAAAGCTCGTAATGGATACTACAGCCTAAGACAGAAAATTGTCTGTGCAGGTCCATCTCCTCGTAAAGCGCCCATATATAGGTACCTTCCGATATTCGGTATTTTAATGATTTAAGGGACTTCTTCACCAGAATTGTTTCAAATTTGATATTTGAAGTTCGAAATGGATACTACAGCCTACGACAGAAAATTGTCTGTGCAGGTCCACGTCTTCGTATAGCCCCATATAACGGTACCTCCCTATATTCGATATTTTGAATTTATCGACATTATAACCGATTTTTTTTAAGGTTTTTTTTTTTAACGGTTTTTATTGTTTTTGAGAATTGCCAAATTCGTTCCAAATGGTGGAGGGTATTCAAAGTTCGGCCCTGCTTACAGCTTTTTTACTTTTTTTTGAAAATTGTAATTTTGTGGATGAGGAACCAGAGGGAGTAAAACCATATTGAGAAATCGATCTAAGTTTCATAATAATATTACGATGTGCCCAATTTGGCCAGGTAGACACATAGACAGACGGACACCCCTAGATCGACCGCAAATGTGCTGAAATAGATATGGGCCTAAAACTCACATCAGGTTATGGCCGTATTAAATGATATATTCCCTCTCTGTGCCCATATTGTAGAGCGTACACAAAGTAATTTCATGTTCGTGTCTTAAGTCTTTCGTTTTGGTGAGGAAATGCTTTAATTGTAGCATTTTTTTGGTGTTGGCAAAATTGTAATCTTTTTTATTCACTTAAAATTTTCAAAAATCAATACACCCTTCATTAGTTACTTTCAATTTTTATAATTAAAGAAATAAATCAAAAGGAAAAAAAAATTTCAATGAACCAAATGTTCAAATTATTTGTGCTTTAGCAAAACAATGATGTAATTTTTAATGCATTTCAATTTTTTGGATTTGTAGTTTTCAAATGAACACATTTCATTATTTATTATTTTTATTTTTTGTCTAAGCTTGTTTCTCTTTGTTTGTTTGGTGAGTATTACGATTTTTTTCTATGGGATTTTATATAATTTGCATTTAGCCTTAAAGCGATCATTTAAAGTATAACAATTTCGGTTGTTGTTTGTTTGGTTTCTGTGTGAGATTATTAAATCCTCCGAAAAAAAAAACAATAATAAAAACAATAGTATTTTTGGTTTCTAGCAAGTTTTTTTTTAAAACCAACAAAGCGCAGAAAAAAACTCAAAACATTAAACTAAAGTACCGCCAAAGAAAACAAAAACAACAAAAAGGAAATTTTTTTTGAAAGAAGAAAAAAAATCGTGTTTATATATTTGCAAATGAATGTAATAATTGTTGGTGTTGCTGTTGTTGTTTTATATTGTCGGAATGATAATAGTAAAAGTATATGCTACGAATTTGTTTTTGTTTTCGCTTCGTTTCTGGGTTTTGCTGGCGTTTTTTGCCACTTTGATTTTGTTTTTTTTTTTTTTTTTTGCCGTGCAAGGCCGTTCACTTGGCGGGAATGTATAACTAATGGTCTTTGCGGTACAATTTTTTTTTCCTACAACATAGCTTGCTTTTTTTCTGCTTTTGCCTTTTTTTGTTTTTGGGCCAACAGCAGCGGTATAATAAACGTTAGCCTAGCTGCCAGCCATAATGCGAATTTTGTGCTAAAGCAACCACAAATGTTTGCCTGATTTTCGGTTACCCTTAACATGAAAACGAAAAATGTTTCTTTGAACGCCAGCAAAAAATGCCGAATGAGAGCAAATGGTA